TGACGTCTATGTTTGATAAACATGCTATACAACAATAAAGGTAGACGGACATAATTTAATGTGTAACTGGCTTTTAACATCTGAATAAATGTTCATTTGCACCCATGTTGCCAAATAAACCATTTTGATGCATCTTAAATGCTGAAATGGTTTGAGCCAGTTATATTGAGTATATGCTAGCTCACTCTCTTTGTGTATATGCTAGCTCACTCTCTTTCCAAACCCTTTTTGCCTTATGAATCTCTACTATTGTCACATGAGGTATATTGAGCAATCACAGTGCCTTGTATGCCTTATTTGTTGACTCAATTAGAACTTATTTATTTTATTTTGTGATTCTATGTCTATGCATGCCTAGTAGAAGGCCTAATTTAAGTCACGGTGTCCTATACATTGCTCACATATGATTTTCTTGGCATGGTGGAAACGTGTTAATAGAAGCCATGAAGGATTCAAAAATTTCATATCTACTAAAAAATAGCATTAGAAAAATAATTTTTTGCTCACAAGTTTGTGAATAGTATGAATAAATTGAGTGAGATACTTTATGAATGTCAATTCAATAATAATTAGCAATTATGTGAGTAAATGGCTTATTGGCCTTTTTAAGGCATATTGCGTGGAATATTTGTTTTGTTTAGTTGATAACTTAAAAGAAAATCTATTGAGAACAATCCATTGATTGGCGAGGATGACAATGAGAAAGTTTTATTAGATTTGGAATGGAGATTATGTATATGTTCTTTCCGTTATTTGGAAATCTAGAGATGTAAGGAGGAGACTTGTTCAGGTTTTGCTTTGTTTTTTTAGACATCATGAGGCATGAGGAAGGTGCATCTTATTTATGCTTATCTACTCTCCTTTTATAAGCAAAACCTTTTTTTATCTTTTTAGCTTTGAAAATAAGAGTGTAAGGTCTTTAAAAGATTATTTGGTAATACAACAAATGCCTTGGGAATGTACAAAATAATTAAAAGATGCTTTGAGAATATAACAAATGCCTTGGGTAAAAAAGAATTAATTGGTATGTATGTATGAATAATGAATGTATGTTGTATGTTTTAAGTTTTATATTTTGTATGTTGTACGTTATATGTTATGTATGTTCTATATGTTACATGTTGTATGTTATGTTTGTAAGTTCTTTAAGAGAATGCATGGTCTTTATGTTTTGTATGCTCTACAAATAAGAGTGTTAAGGTTTTTAAAAGAATTAAACATTATGTTGTATGTTATATGTTCAAATGAGTAAAAAATGAACACCAAATTGAAAAGCATGCACATGACCAAAATGCAATTAAATTTTCATGATCACAAAGCCTTGTGTGCATTCTAATAATAGCTTATCAGCTACAAAAGACAAATCAATGATTTGATCCTGGAGGGTAAAAAAGTGAACATGTTCGTTGAGTCACAAAAAGCATGTCCTACATTTAAAAAAATTATGCAAATATAAAATAATGCGTGCATTTTAGAGTACACCTGGGTGTTAATGATAACATTAAGAATTGAAATCAAAGACTTCCCAAAGCACTTTTTGTGTGTAATTTGACTCAAATTGCATCACTTTGAAGCGTGCAAATCATTAATGAGTTTGTAAGATTACTCTTGTGCTTAAACTCTTCGCAACACTCCATACACTTATGCTTGAAAGGAGTCAGAGGATAAGAAATGCTCCTAAGATTTTATATTATTTTTTTAACTATTTGAAGAAAAGGATAAAAGAAATAGGAAAATAAATCTTTAAGAAATATTAAAAGATATAAAAAAATGTGAATTTTTTTAAAAATCTTATGAGCATTCTTAGACCATTTGCTCTCATTTTACTACATGACATTCTTGTTTTCTCACTCGAAAAATAGGAATGCCTTGTAAAAAAATTAGAAAATTATAACAAAAAAGGTACTAATATGGAGCTGACTTTTCAAGTAAGATATTCCAGGCGCCACGACTACTTTCCTAATGATAATAATATTTACAATTTTCTTTGGTTTGATCGTCTATGCACTACTTAATGTCCAATCGGAGGCAGAATTGTGAAAATAAGAGATGGAACTTGAGAAAGCAACCTAGAGTATAATATATGTATAATATAATAATAGTAAATAAGTGTTATTTTGCCATATTTTAATTTAATATTTTATGAGCTATCATTGAGCTTAATATCGAGTATTTAACCGGTTACTTGTTAATTATGTTCGTAAAAAAATTTAAATGAGTTTGACTATGTTCAAGCTTGATTTAACCTTTGAATTTTTAAGAATCATTCAAACTTATTTAATCACTAACATAAACAAACTCGAATAATCATTAGCAAGACAAATTCAAGTTGCTCATTGAGTGTTCTAGTTCACTTTTAACTCTGTATATAGGGCCTTCATAGCATTTATGGTGGTGCATATATAAGAAAATTCACAAAAATAAAAACCTTTGACAACCATATCTATAGGGTAGGATCTTAAGTCCCAACTATTAGGTCATCCCCAAATCATCGGGATTAAAGCCCCAACCCCAATATAATCCACATTAAACCCCTATGGTAGAGAATTGAATTCAACTAAACATGTACATTTAGTCAGACTCAATCCTCTATAAGCAAGCAAGTAGAGTTGACATACCCCTAGCTTGATTTTCATCATTTAAAAGCTAAATCGACAATTCTGTGAGCTGCTTTGCCTATAAAGCAACATCTTAAGTCCCAACCATTGGGTATTTCCCAAATATTTTGCATGTTAGCCCCAACCATCAATGTAACATATGAGGTTGGGTTGTCAGTCTCAATCATTGAGCCTTTCCCAAATCTTCAAGGTGTAAGCCCGCTGGAAATTAAATTCTAATGCCATATATACATAAATTCATGATATAGTCGACATAGTCCACAACTCAACATAATTCTAAGCTCTCAATCCTCACCGTGCAAGTGATAGAGATGACTAAGTTGGCATCATAAATTTTCACCCATTTTAGGTTTGATTATCAGGAGATTATAATTGAAGGGGTTTATCCCATAAACCAAACTCGTGGTCATAAATACAATTACTTTGAGTTATTTCTCTGCTGATGGATTCAATTATTAGAATGTTATGATGAGGAAAGGGTCTTTGTAAAAAAAAATCCCTTCTCAAATTCTATGATAAGTACACCTAAACTCTTTTCACAATGATGGATATGATCAAAGCAAAATCATACCGCAAGGAAGCCTATCTAAATTTAGCCCCGACAAATAAATGTAAAAGAAAACAAAAAATAGATAAAAATAAAAAAAACTCGACCAATAATCTATCATTTTGTGCTTAGAGTATCCATGCTTCCATTCTCCGCTCTAATTTGCTAAGGATGACAAAATTATGATCATATTCAAAATTTTAACCGCATCAAAGATGTAACACATGCTCCCTAATCAAGTTGTTGGCCTGCTTGTGAAGTCGCTATAATATTACGATCACAGTTTAAACCTAAGTGTTTCTAAATGGCTAAGCCAAATTATTAGAATGTAATTCTCATCCCTCAATTTAGTTTACATTCACCAACACCAAGTGGTAATCCTGATTCCAACTCTAGGGAATTGGCTTTGGTATGGTTATTAATGTAGCACTGCATATATATCATTATATTATGGGTTGTTAATGTTGATCTATGAGATGTCCAGGGGAATTACTTCTCACAACATCTTGTAGATGTTGTCATTTGTAACTATAAGCTTGAGTCAATGCTAGCTATGGGTGTGAGCCGAGCCGGCTTGTTAAGGAGCTCGCGAGTCGAGCTTATCGAGTCACAAGTTTGAGCTCGAGCCTATACTTGAGCTCGTATGTTAAACGAGCTCGAGCTCGAGTTCAACCTGGCTCGGCTTGAAAGTTTATTGAGCACTCAATTAAATTAAAATATATTTAATAATTAATTAAAATTAGCATTATATAATATATTTTAATGTTTTTAATTTAATTCTATATTTAATCAAGCTTGAGCTTTTCAAACGAGCTCGAGCCTATAAATTTTTTAACGAGTCAAGCTTGAGGTCAGTAAAAACTAAACAAGCTTAGCTTGATTAAATAGATACTTGACTCGATTTGTTTAAACCCCTAGTGCTAGCAATCAATCTTCATCTCTATCCTCTTCTAAATCCAATCCAAAGGATAGGGGCTTGGATGTTGTATGGTGTCTAAACCCAATTTCTACACTAGATTGACATGAATGAGATTATTTAGAATGCCGGCCGATGATCATAATCACCACTTGATTTGTATTCTCAAAGTGAACTCCTATTTGTCCTATTGGTGGACGATCCCATTGTTATATCCTTTGGCAATCCCATTATTGATAGAGACGTGCTCAGCTTGTCCATTGAGCACACTGTTTTCGACTCTTGTAATATCTTTTCCCTTCTTGTCTTTCTTTCTCTTTTCAAGAAAGAGGTCAAGCTTCTAGGCATCCCCATGTTCAAAAGTTAGCCCAAGTGTCATATTCTTTAACAAACCACCCAACTCTTGTAAAAATTTCAAAACTGGATCCTGTTTGGCTCGGTAGACTTTGTTAGGGCTGCTGCTAAAGGTAAACTGCCTAAAATCCTTTCCCGAGATGGGACCGAGAGGAGGCATGAATCATATGAATGATTCTTCCAACGGAAATATCTATTTTGCCTGGCCTATGGCCTGTGTGGAAGAGTAAGCCGTTAGAAAAATGTGAAAGACTGGGACATGTCAGTACCTGAAGAAGAAAAAAAAAAGGTTCATATGTGCCAACAAGGAGAATGTCAATCCCTCTGAAACAAACGGCTCATCAACTCTGAAGGCATGACATGACCCTCCTCTATTCGGACAAATCTTCACTCCATTCTTAAGTTGACACTTTATATTTTATTTATTATTTGAACGGGAGAGTATATTGTTATGAAACTAGAATGGGCTGTTATTTAAGTTTAATTGCTTTATTTTACTGATAGAATTTGTTTTGAAATAATGGAAATATGGTCTCTAAGTGTCATTTGCTGTATTGTTTTCCAGGTCAAATCCATATGTAGGGACTTTGGTGTCATCTGTATACGCAGAGAAGGGACGAATATTGAACAGATAATTTCCAATGATGAAATATTGCAAGAAAATAAGGTGCGAAAAGTAAATTTTTTTTCTTAATTAGTGTATAATTTTAGTAGTAATAGACCTAGTGAGGGGTTTATGACTTTGGGCGATCAAGTCATTAATAAGAGTACATTAGAGATAGGATATGAAATGAGCATATACGTGAAAAGATTGAAGTAGCTCTAGTAGAAGATAAGATTAGAGAGAGTCGCCTTAGATGGTTGGTTCACATAAAATGGCGGCCTTCCGATGACCCAGTTAGGAGGGTAGAGGTATTAGATTTGACTTATGTTAAAAAAGGTAGAGGCAGATCTAAAAAGACTTGGTTAGAAAATATTAGGAATGACCTTTCTTTATTAGATTTAAACGAGAATTTGACTTTTAATAGAACACAATGGAGGAAAAGGATTCATGTAGCCGACCCCACGTAGTGGGATAAAGGCTTGATGTTGTTGTTGTTGTAGAAAGCATGTTGAATATTTTTTAGCTCATTCTTTACTAATTTCTGTTTACAGATCAATGTCATATCTGTAGATGAGATCATACCGAATCGAATTAGTTCAACAAACGTGAGGTAATTTTTTCCTTTGATGTTATGCTGGCCTTTGTTCAACTTTGTTCATCATGAACTTCAAACTTAAAATGAACCTGGAACTCATAGCATTTATTTGTTTAGCTGGTTTAATCCCTTTATAAGGCTCTCTTACCTCCCACCAACTCAAGCACCTGCATGAGCTGTTCATCTAATATTGGCTTGCGATTTGTTCAGCAAAGTGTTCACAATGTGTTGGTTGGTTGAAATTTTGCTGGTCTCTTCTTCACCGCAGGGAATGCATAAGCAGAGGGCTTTCAGTGAAATACCTGATTCCTGACGAAGTTATCGACTATATTAGGGACCAAAAACTCTACCTGGAATAGCTGCAACAAGGTTCTGATTCCACCTAATTTCCTTGCGATTGAAATTGTTGTGCAGATCTTTTGTTTTTGTATAGTGGTGGGTCTTGCTTGATTAATGTGTTAGACCATGTAAATGTTTATATTGTTCCTATAGAGTTTTGATTCAAAAGCCATAGATAAAAATGAATAAATGTGGCTATGTTTGAGTAGAGGGACTGATTTCACAGTTAGGAGACAACAGCTATGGTGTAACTATTGTTCTTCATCATGAATAAAACTTTTTATCTTTTACCAATCCTGCAGATCTGTTTAAAGTCTTTTACCTTGGGTGCAATCACTCTCATTTTCTCTATGCAATTCGCTTCCAGCTGTTGCTAGATTTCATTGGTATATACATAGTGTTGTTAGCAGCCTAACGGTGCAGCTCTATCACCTAGCACTGCGACAAAAGTTCAAAATCTCAAATTCCACATCATAGAGAGCTGCAATGTCACTATTTAGCGTCTAGCGTCTGATACTATAGTAGCACCGACGTGCTCAGACACCCATCTCAAATAGTAAATTTTCTAAAATTTTGCCAAATTATGTTCAAGACCCTAGACATTAATTCTAAATCACACAATCATTTTTATACACCAAAACACTTCCAAATATATACAAATGGGTTCAAAATTGAAAATTTCAAAAAATTATTTTTTTTCCAATCAAGTTAGAATCGCTTGAACCAAATGCTGAACGTGAAGGTGTCACATGCGCTGTCTAAGGGGTCTCTGAGTATTGCCTTATCTTACATTTAAGATAAGTTTTCAAATCCTATACTAAACTTATTACCACTACACACTAAGCATTTAATACCTATCCAATGATTAGTCTTAATTGAAAGTTATCTCTTATCACTTGAAGTTATAATTAATCATCGAGCCTTATGCTAATGTGAAACTTAAATCTGGATCATTAAATCTTCACAAAATAAGGATCGGGCTCAAGCATCAATTTTGTTAGGTGTCATACAAGCGTTAGTCTTTAGAGTATATATTTTGTAGTGAAATTGCTTTGTAAAAAGCGCTTAAGGCCTAGTGTGCACGTAGGCTTCGTTTGGGACGACTTTTTTATTGCTTTTTAAAACGGAGTTGTAGTACAAATTTTTTAATTTTTGTACTAAAACTCCGTTTTCAGAAGCAATAAAAAAATCTTCCCAAACGAAGCCGTAAACTTAAATATCATAGTGGGTTTTAGAATTATATGTTCATTCATGATAATAGGACTTATGATGCACCATTTAAAGCTTAATGTTCGAATATTTCTTATGAGGTTCAAGTCTGATCAACTCTAATTCTTGTAAGGAGCATCATACTAATTTGGAGCACGTAGGCTTCGTTTGGTACATCCTTCTTTCTGCTTCTTAAAGAAGCTTTTTAGTACAATAATTTTAATTTTGTACTAAAAAGCTGCTTTAAGAAGTGGAAAAAAAACCGTCCCAAACAAATCCATAATCTCACTTTAGGTGCTATTGCACTGTGTTATCAAAACATTCATTTTGATAATAAACGCTGAAATCAATATTTGAATGATTATACAAGTTCTAAATTTGTTATGTATAAAGAATGGGAAATGCCTTTTATTTAGTATTGATGAGTTGATTTTTTTTTCGATAAAATTAAAATATTAAGTCAAGTCATTTTTTTATTGATTTGTTTCGGTTGTTAAATAATCATTTCAATTATTAATTATAATTATTTTTTACTGGCACTAATTCAACCTTTTATTATTGAAAAACCGATCAAAATAAAAGTTGAACTATAGTTATTTTTATAAATATCAAGTTAATAAAATTCTTGGACTATAAATAAATAAATGACAAAAATATCAATACATACATTATTTTATTTAATTTTAACAAATATTATATTATTTTTTTAATAATGTTATTTAAGCTAATAATGATTAGGTTCATTCTTATTATTAATTATATATTGGATTGTTCAAAAGCAAATGGAACTAACAAAACTATAATTTGATTCAATTAGTTAATTTGAAAAATAGTTTGGGCTCAAATTTTTTTGTATTTTATAATAGAAATTTTATTTTGTTAATTCATAAATCAAAATATCCAACCGATCAAATGCTTTATAAGGTCACATAAAGCCACAACATTAGAAGAATATCATAATTTACTTTTATTGTGTTTTATGATATTCCGTTTAATAGTTATCACAATATATTTTCATTCAATTTAGGTGTCAATGCACCTTCTTTTATTATATAATTTTTTTATCTATAAATATTAGACAAATTCTTTAGTGTAAAATGAACATATCCTTCTCCTTATCTTTTCGTATTGACTTCTCCTCCACTATCTTCTCCAATCCAAGTGCTCATATCATTATAAAACAAGATTGTGTCGATCTCATCAAGCTATCCTCAATGACTAGTCAATTTATTGTCAACCATGCCCTTCATATAATTTCATCGTTAAGTTACTGGCGTATATTCCGCCGGTTAGATTTCCGCATTTTCTAACGTATTTCTATCCGTCGGAAAGTCCAACGGTAATGACAGATTTTCTTGTGTTGATGTGACTACAAGCATCAAGATGTTTGCGATGTCAACAACAATTGATTCATCCCTTTTGCATTCATAACATTTTGGGGTACTTAATATGAGTAGCCTATTTTTCTAATGAACTAATCGAATACAATTTTATTTTTGATAGTTCCATTTGATTTTGAACTATACAAAATATAATGAATAATTATCATGAACCTAATCATTATTAACTTAAATAAGATTATTTATTTATTTTTTGTTAAAATTAAATAAATAATATCCTTATTGATATATTTTTTAATTTATGTATTTATTGTTCAAGAGTTTTTTTGACTTGATATTTATAAAAATAAGTATTGTTCAACTTTATTGTCCGATAAATTTTTCAATAATAAAAAGTTGAACTGACACACAACTCCCCTTGGCCTATTGGTTGAGAGCTTAGGCTTCCAACTAAGAGGTCCAAGGTTCGAGTCCATGTGTATGCGTTGTGTGTGTGAGTTTGCCTTAAATGGCCTAAATGTCCTAAAAAAAAAAAAAGTTGAACTGACACCCAAAAGTTAAAAAAATGATAATGAAAATTAATAATTCTAACTGATAATTCACTGTTCGTTGGGCCCATTCCCTTTATACGAATAACATGCAAACGCATAACTTTTTGTCAACAGTTCATAAATTAGGGTTGCATTACTTATTACTATTATTTGCATACTCTCTTTACATATGAGAAGGCATTTCCCATTCTTTATATATAACACATTTTTGGAAATCTCATTAAAAAGGCCATTCAATCAAAGGTGAATGAGATACAATATTCAAATTATATTTAGTACTTATTATCAAAATAAATATTTCGACAAAACAAGTGTGATAACATTAAAAGCGATATTATATTATTCGAAATTAAAAATTTCATGATCAAATCTTATGTATTTATTGTCTAAACGAGCACATTAATGAGAGAATTTTAATAGTTCCAATATCACTCAATAGTTTTTTTTTTTTGGAAATTACTGAATAGTCATTAAAGCATAAAAAATATTAAAAGAATATTTTATGAACAAAGGAAATCAATTTGAGCCATAAATGGAGTGTTTTAGAGTTTTGGTTAAACTTGCCAAAATACCTCTTAAAAAGATTGAATAGAATCTCATTTTCTCATGAAAGGTATTTGAATTTGGTGTGATAACTCTAAAGCCCAGTCTCAATGGACACTGATGGTCAACTTTTGTAATTTACATCACATGATCCTTATTGATCAACCTTTGTTGTTCGATCATCTTCCACTTCATCATTTGACTATTGTTGTCCGACTATCATAGCTCATTCACCGTCATCCAATCACTATTATCCAATCACAATAGTTCATCCATCAATGCCTAACTACCAACACTCAACTACTACGTACCATCGCCAATTGTTATCGTTCCATAAACATTATCACCGTTAGCGTTACTTTTACATCTTTTACAATCGTAAGAGATATTTTGTAACTTAATTTATATAGAGAAATGTTTTAAGTAGAACGTGCACCATAATTTTTTTTATGCCTTCCAATATATTATTGGCATTGTTACTAAAGTCTGACGAATGCCGTTTATGTTCCTGGTTCAAAAGAAAAGAGTCGCTTTCCTTCCTTCCCCATCTCTATTTGATACAGCTAGAGTTTTCACACAAGCGCCTTGACTCATGTCAGTTTATTATTAAAAAAATACTTTATTATTTATTTTAAAAATTTCGTTGAAGGAATGCTATGTATAAGCATTATACACATTTTGGTTACAATCACATCAATATTTATTGGGTCAATTCCCTTAATATGAATACATACAAACACAACTTTTAATGGCATGTTAGTAAATTAGGGTAGCATTCCCTCAGCAAAAATTTTAAAATAAATAATAAAGTATTTTTTTAATAATAAACTTACATGAGTCAAGGCGCTTGTGTGAAAACTCTAGCTGTATCAAATAGAGATGGGGAAGGAAGGAAAGCGACTCTTTTCTTTTGAACCAGGAACATAAATGGCATTCGTCAGACTTTAGTAACAATGCCAAAATTAGCAGCATTTATTGGATTCCATAAGAGCTTATTGCTTTTATTTACAGATATATCAATACGGATATTATTTATTTAATTTTAACAAATATTATTTTATGTTTTAATATTGCCATTAAGTTAACAAAGATTAGGTTTATTGTTGATACATCTTAGAATATTCACGACGGTAGAGATTTATAAAGTTTAGCGTCCTAATTTGATACGAGTATTTAATAAAAAAATAGATAAAAGAGTAGGACACAATATTCATATGATACACCAAAATCTTTACAAGAAAATGATTATAATAAGTGAGAAGTTAACCAGCTACATTACTGATGATTGCAGCCATCATCCAAAATTTTTTAAAAAAATTATTTAGATGCATAAGAATTCTCTCTTTGATTTGAGAAATTATTCTGTGTGGAGACCGGATGCAAAATGTCGTCTAGAGACCAATTAGAATGCGGCACCGAGCGACAATACTGATCACATGGGTGATATGACGTATTCTGATTAATCTCCAAACAATCTTTAACATGGGCACAAAATAATTAATCCTTTGATTCTCGGTCTATTGGTATCAAATTCAAATTGAACTAAATTAGGCTAACTCCAGACTAGAAAACAGCAACCAACGTTAATCATTCCGAGTCAAATTCTCAGCCTAGGCGCGCTTTCGTTAATCCCCATGATGACAAATTTCGTCAGCTGAGATGACAAATTTCATCAACCAACAATAACATTTCTTGTTTTTATGAGTTTACAAACGAAGAAGGCCAAATTAAAGGTTTAGCGCTCGAAAGGACCACCGGTTTATAGCCAACTTACACTCTCCGGGGTTAGGGCGAGAATTTACAACTCCCGACCTTTCCCTCGAGATTCTCGGGGCCAAAGTGCAGTATTTCTATGAGAAATCAGGGGAAAGAGTCAAATTCTCAGCCTAGGCGCGCTTTCGTTAATCCCCAAGATGACAGATTTCGTCAGCTGAGAAGACAATGGAGGGAAGCACCAAATCCTAGAGAGAAGAGAGGGATTCATCCGTGCAAACCGGTTGACGCCGGAGCTGACGATGGACAGTAGAATGCCCTGTTTTCTTTGAAGATTGTAATGCCAAAACTTCAGCTCATAGTTGTTTGTTCATTTGCTTCTTTGTCTAGCCAAATATGTGGCTGAATACATGTGTATAAATAATAAGCTTCACGTAATAAGAAGGGGCTTTTGGTTTTCGGTGTTAACAAACTTTCTTTTCTCTTTGTGAGATGTTCTGTATCCTGACGACGTCAGGTGGTGGTATTCTGGGCGGTATTCGCCAGCCGTAGTTCCTGCTAGTATCGGAACTTCTGGTGAGGAGGAAGTTCTTCGTTGCTGCCGCGACTAGTTCACAGTCCGGTGTCACCGGTGGTCCTTTCGAGCGCCAAATATTTAATTGTGCCTTCTTCGCTTGTAAACTCATAAAAACAAGAAATGTTATAGCCAACTCACACTCTCCGGGGTTAGGGCGAGAATTTACAATTCCCGACGTTTCCCTCGAGATTCTGAAAAATTATTAGGTGCGGAGTGCGGACGGGGTGAGCACGTCCGCACAGACACAGGGTACCAAGCGGTACCCAGTGGTACCGAGTGGTACCGAGCGCGATTTTATACTAGTGTGCGGACGGTTCTCCAGTCCGCACTCCGTACCTAATAATTTCTCCGAGATTCTCGGGGACAAAGTGCAGTATTTCTATGAGAAATCGGGAAAGAGACGCTCTTAAACCACACTATGCTAACTTTTGATCGCTCCAATGACTGTCCCTGGCCTCACCTTCTCTTGCGTCAAGTATTTTGCTATCAATAATATCCGTATTGATATTTCATGTTATTCATATGAAGGGAATTGACCCAATAAATATTGATGTGATTGTAACAAATTGGGCAGTGAGGCCCTTTTGAGTAACAATGCTAATAATATGTTGGAAGACATAAATACAAAATTAGCAGCATTTATTGGATTCCATAAGAGTTTATTGTTGTTATTTACAGATATATCAATACGGATATTATTTATTTAATTTTAACAAATATTATTTAATTTTTTAATTTTGCCATTAAGTAAACAATGATTTTGGTTTATTGTTGATACATCTTAGAATATTCACGACATTAGAGATTTATAAAGTTTAGTATCCTAATTTTGTACGTGTATTTAACAACAAAATAGATAAAAGAGTATGATACAATATTCATAAGATACACCAAAATCTTTACTTGAAAATGTCTTAAAAGGGAACAAAACCATGAATAACTTCACTAGTATTGATGGTTGATTACAAATAATATCCTCTTCCTTGGAGGAGAGTGCTGGCTTAATGTAGCAAATACACATTGTATAGTGCGCATTACATGACAACAGTTCTTAAAAGATTGTTGGTATGTTTATTTGATCAGTAGGACCATGATCAGTGTGGTACAATGTTCATAGGGATCGTAGTTGGAAGTGATGTCGTGTATAGCTACACTGCTATGTAGAGTAATGCTAGGTAGAGTACATAAGAGGCATTATTTGAATACATCTATTTCCAAAGAGATAATTGCAAGTGATGTCATGTGAAGAGCGAATACCATCTTGGTGTATGTCAATGCAAATTTGAAGAATCTTTGAGCTGCTTAAAATGAGTTAGAAAAGCTAGAGCTTGACAAACCTTTTATACAAGAGTCAAATGCAAAAGAAGATCATCAAAGGCGAGAATCTAAAAAATATTGACATCTCGAGCATGACAATCAATATTGATATAGAACAACACACCATAGTTGAGTATCATCAACATACAAAATAATTAGAATAAGTGTGAAGTTCATCATCAAATTTTAATTAAAACCAGATAAATTTTTGATGATGCAGCCATCATCCACAATAAAAAAAGTAATTTATTTAGATGCGTTGCGGGCTAGAATATACGCGACGATAGAGTTATGATCTTACGTCCTAGCTTTGCACAGATATCCAGCTCACACACAGATAACACAAGATTTTTATGTGGAAAATCCTAAAAAGGGGGAAAACTATGGGATCTGGCCTAGTTGAAAATGATTTTACTAGAAATTGAGTAGGATACAGTGGGCTGACTCGCCCCTGAGGGCTATTAGATTACAAATATCAATCATATGGTTGAAGTCAGGGGTAAATGAAAGTCCGACGTCACTTAATGATTTGGTGGAACTTCAGGGCCACTCGGTGATTTGGCAGAATTATGTCGTCACTTGGAAGTTCGGGTGCCAATTAGTAGAACCCTAGTGTCCATAGGTGGCTCGAAAGAACTTCATACATTAGGTGGTTGTCCAGCGGAACTCAGGGCATCAATAGGTGGCCTAGCAGAACTCAGGGCATCAAGCGGTGGTCCAGCATAGCTCAGGGCGTCAAGCGGTGGTCCGACAGAGCTTAGGACTCTGGGTGGTGGTTCGGCGAAGCTCAGGGCATCAAGCGCTGGTCCGGTGGAGCTTAGGACGTTAAGTGGTGGTCCAGCGGAACTCCAGGTGGTGGTCGAGGAGGCAAGGAGGCAAGAGCGATCTCCGATATCTCTCTTGAATCCTTTGGTTTAGGGGTCCCTTTTCAAGAGGAAAGGGAGCTCTATTTAAAATTTTTTTGGAGTGGCATGACCTGTAAATATGTGGAAGATCAAGGGCAAATGGGGAGTGGTTTGCATGAACGGCTGATGTTGAATCCCTTGATCGTGGACCATTTGATAGACATTTGATTGTCTTAGTGATATCATAATTTAGTGATCTTAGGCTTGTTGGATTTGTCTCGTCGAGCCGCTCGATTCGACTATAGGCACGTCTTGTTTGGAAACCATTTGGTAATCCAAATTGTGGTTCGAACATTCCAACAACGCTTCAAATCCTTGATTTAGATCCATTTGGGCTCGGATTAGGTTGAATTTGATGTAAATGGGTTCATATTTTCAAGACATTCAATTTGACTATTGTTGCGGGCTAGAAAATACGCGGCGATAGAGATTTAATTCTGCGTCTTAACGTTGTACGTATAACTAGCTCACACACAGAGAACACAAGATTTTTTACGTGAAAAATCCTTAAAAAGGGAAAAACCACGAGGCCTAGCCCAATTGAAAATGATTCCACTAGAATTTGAGTCGGTTACAAAGGACTGAATCACTCAAATTGCTGTTTGAACCTTATGACAGCACTTTGAGCCCTTGATTTGGACTCATTTGGGCTCGGATTGGGTTGAACTTGGTGCCGTCGGGTTCGTATTTCCGAGACGCTCAGTTTGACTGTAAGCTCGCTGAAATCGGAGTTCAGATGCTCCAGAAATTAAATTTTGAAGTTTCCCACTAGCTTTTTGCCTCGAGATTCGTGTCCGATCAAGATAATTGTTACATGACGTATCAACTATAAGTTTATTAAAATCGGAGTTTGAAATGTCTCAATTTTAATTTTGAAAGTTTTCAACTTAATTTTGACTAGAGATTCATGCCCATTCAAGATAATTTTTTAGGATACATCAAGATGCATGAGGACTCTCTCTTTAATTCTCGGTCTATTTGTATCAAATTCAAATTGAACTAAATTAGGCTCACTCCAGAGTCCAGACTAGAAAACAGCAACCAACGATACTCATTCCTAGTCAAATTCTCAGCCTAGGCGCGCTCCAAATTTCGTCAGCTGAGAAGACAATGGAGAAGCAACAAATCCTAGAGAGACGAGAGCGATTCATCCGTGCAAACGGGTGCTCCTTTCGATGAGCCCTAAACCCTTAATTGCGCCTTCTACGCTCGTAAACTCATAAAAACAAAAAATGTGAAAGCCAACTCACTCTCTCCAGGATTAGGGCGAGTATTTACAACTCCCGACGTTTCCCTCGAGTTTCTCGGGGCCAAAGTGCTGTTTTTCTACGAGAAATCGGGAAGGAGACGCCACACTACGCTAACTTTTGATCACTCCAGTGACTGGCCCTGGCCTCCCCTTCTCTTCTCTTGCCGCAAGTATTTTGCTATCGCAGGAGTTTTTTTTTTTGTTTTGTTTTCAAGGCATTTTTTTGGTTGCTTGGCTTCTTGCATCCTAGGTTTTTTTTAATTGTATTTTAATTTTTTCCGGGAATGCATATCATTCCTTCTTGAGTTTTGGAGCTTCCTCGGGCGACTCTCTCTTTATTTATCTTGACAAATACAGTGCCAATGCAGGTTTTCTGAAAGGGCAGATTAAACTGGGCTTTTGCCAGTTTCAGGACTTGTTAAAAGTAGTCTGGGATGGCTCCTTCCGCTCAGTTGCAAAGAGCGCAAGCGGCTGTTAAAGCCATGAAGCTCATTGGGTTTGATCAAGCCAAAGCAAAGGCAGTCTTGAAGAAGCTGCTCAAAGTTTATGAGAACAACTGGGAGTATATTGAAGCAGAAAACTACCGGCTTCTGGCGGACTCAATACTCGATGACCAGGAATCAGTGGTAACTTCTGTGTCGGTTCTATCTAATTCTTACTGTCGCTTGGTACATAGAGTAGTTTATCGGTGTTTCTTAAAGCCAGCAAAAATGAATTAAGTGAATTCGTAGATGATGAAAGATGGTTTATGAAAGCATGAGTTTGATGAGCTTTTATGTTTAATGATTTGACTTTGAATAACGTCCTTCTGAACCAGGACCCTGAGGTGAATGAAACAGATGCTGCTGCAAGTGCTGCACCTGAGGTATCACGGAAGAGGTTAAGGCATAGGCAAGAGGATTCTGACCATTTTCCATTAACAGTTGAAGCCGCTAGAACTTCACCCCAGAGACCGACACTTGTTCGATCACCTGAAGACCATCCCACAAATTTCAGAGGTAAAATGATTAAGCCTGTGGAGGCTCAATGCCCTCATGACGGAGAAGGATCATTTTCATCGCCTCATGCAATACGTAAAAATGGACTAACTACAGAGAAAGCGCCTCAAAATTCTCATAATTGTCCAGAGCTTAGCCCTATTTCAGGCCGTGTAGTTCCTCGGATGACGAGGTCCAGTAATCCTGCAAATGTACCATATTTTGAAAAAGGAAAGTCAAGTTCGCTTGTGATGCAAGAAAGAGATAAACATCAACCCTGCGGCACATCAGGAAATTTAATATGTTATAAAGAGCCAAAGATGGAACCCGACACTGAAGTTCCTCGAGATATTGTTGCTGTTGGGTTTTCTTCTAATCCAGATATGTCCGTGGATGAGGTTCCTTGCTACATCTCTGATAATTATGTGCCTCTTTCATTGCCATCACCTCATGGAACTCCTTCAGGAACTGCTGGTATAACCATGCTAAAACTTCTTGAATAATATTTCTTTTTCTTGTAAGGCTGTGAATGTATATTTTGTTCCGTGACAATCAGTTTCTTTAGCTATGATTTTGGTTCACCTTCATGTTTACTAGAAAAGTTTGGAAAGTTTCTTGATGGTAGGCATAAATCAAGGTTAGAATAAAAGAAAAAATGGGTTGAGGTGAAAAGTGACATAACAGAAAAGTTTATGTCACTTTGAATAAGGAGTTGAGAGGGGGTAATCTTGACTGCAATGAAATGATCGAAGGTTTCCTCATTTTCCTTAGAAAGGAAGTTCTAGTCTCTACCACAACGAGAGGATGAGCCCTTAGAAGTGCGAGGATTTATGCTACTGCTGGCCATTCCTAAAGCTTTGACTCGAGATGTTTTGGGACCGAATGAGAATGTGAAGAAAAAAATATCCACCACATTTAAATTTAAAGAACAATGACCAATCCTACAATACAAAATTTTAATCGTATGTAATATTTTGAAATCTTACTGATGTGAAACCAAATGCACAGGAGCTCATTAAGGAATTTAAGAACAAGTTGGCAATGTAATTCCACTCAATAGCTTATTGTAATAACAAGGCAATTCAATAAAGAATCTTAGTTTTCCATTTGCTTAGACGAAGGAGCACATGTAGATTAACCAAACCTAGTAGATAAGCAAAAATAGTAGTAATACTAAGAGTTATTAACCAACAATCCACAATTTAATAATGAGAGCTTCCACCTTTGGAGCCCATATGCTCCAATAGTATAGGCTTTAGCGGCAGAAGAGTCTCCACATCAGAATCGAGGTCACTCCGAGGAAGAAGGAACCTAAGATCGTCGTTCTTGAAAAGATGGCCGGAGTGGTGGAGGAAGATGGTCGTCCAATGATGATCCAACGTCCCTTTGATCTTTGCTCGTCGATCACGTCAACTAAGGTGTATTGGATACGGTCGATGTAGTCTTCAACGGTGTCGTCGAAATCAAAGCCCACGCCAAAGAACGACAATTGGGGGATGTCGACTTGATCTCGATCGTCATACACAAATCCAAAGTTCCATTCGGGTTCAACCATGCATCCTTGTCGGGAGATGAAGGAACACCGTTGGAAACAAGGGGAAGAGGAGGGGTGGAGGTGGCGGCTAGGTGTGGGAGGTTTAGCCGTGAGCTAGAGAAAGGGCGGGGGGGAATTTAGGAAAATTAAAATTAAATTCAGCTCCAAGTAGTTTTGGAGGGAGATTAATTTAAAATTTCAAATTAATTCATTAATGACTAGGAGCGTTAATTGAGGAGGTAATTGGGGCTAATTTGGTGGAGCTTTTAATTTAATTTGGGAGAGATAAAAACCCATTAAAGGGGTCCGACCACATGGAGAGAGGGGAGAGCACAATTGTCATAAGTGGAGTGGGGACCACAACTTTAATCAAGGATTTAATCAAGATCTGAATTGATTCTCATAAGTAACTCCCAAATTCAAATGAAAATAATAGGGAATTTGAATTCGAATTTCAAACGTGTGTAACTCCTCTTAATTAATTTCCCAAATTTAATATGGCTTAATTAGGAAAGTCATTAAGAGAGGGGAATTCAAAATTCAAAGGGGAGAGCTAGAGGGGGGCCGACGGCAAGGGGGTCTAGTGGGTGGTCGGCAGGTGGGGGTTTGCAGGCCGGCGGCCTGGGCGGCTCAAGGGGAGGCGGCGGCAAGGGGTGAGGGGAAGGGAGGAGGGGAATTTATAGGGATTCAATTTGCTATAAATCCACTCACCTGAATTATCTTCAATCCGGATCTCCACGAAAATAGCTTGGCGAAAATTTAGAACTCTCGAAGACAAAAATAGTTTGACGAAAATCTAGAACTCACAAAGAGATCTATCTTGTTCAACGAACTCACTAAGAGATCGAGGAGGGTTGAACTCACAAAGAGAACATAAGAGGCAAATTTTCATGCATCAAAAACTAATTCAAATACAATGACTCAGCCTATATATAGGCCAATCGAAAATAAAAAGCATTAAAGACGACATTGCCCTTGGGCTATAACAAGCACTAACTCCCTCATAGGGGGGTACAAATGGAAAAACATGAAATATAAATGACATGAATAAAATAAAACATAAAAAATAAAGACTATGAATCAAGGCCGTCGCTCGAAGACCCCTCCTATGGTAAGTGTGCTGAAATTTTCCTATGGATGTCCTCATCACTTACGGGATGAAAAATAATTCGTACATACGAATAGAAACAACCAAAAATGAAATGGCTTTTTGTGAAAACGCAATTCCCGATTACAAACCTTTACTAATGATGTTTATAAATAGGTTGTGTAAAGCCTGCATATCTAGCATTGGTGATGAATTGCAGCTGCCACAGCCACTTTATTGCGTGAATGAAGTTTTTGATGGTAGGCATAAAAAGTGCCAACCTTTTCTTTTGTAGCTGGTTCTCTCTAGAATTTTGTTTTTCAGGTTGAACATTACTTTAAAAAAATAAAAAGTTTAGAAGTATTAGTTAGGACTAAATCCTCACTTTCTTGATGCAGCATCATTAATTTGCAGTGCCATTGTCAAGCTTGAGAGCATAGTATTCTTGTCTGTCTCATAACTGCATCTTTACTATGTTGACTGGCCATTTGTGTTGATTGCTGATTTTTAATTGCCAAACGTATCGCTCTTATTTTAGTTTATTTCCAAGACCGGATAAAATTACTTAGTTTGGGGGAAGAAAAGTTAATGGTATTGAGTAGACGGCTTATGATGCATAAAGCAAGGAGCTCTTTCACAACATAGAATTTAATTGTGATGAATGAGATTACTTTGTTCCAACGAGTTTCTTCTCCTTATTGGCTTATTGCTGCTCAACTTGTCACATTTCCTTGACCCTTTGATACTTCTTCCTGCCTTTGGACTGAATTTGGCCCCACAAAATGCTCAGTCAGTTCCATTGTTATCAGTCTGGCTAACTGATTTTTTCAACATACTCTGGGTGTCTTTGCTTTCTGCTGATAAAATTTATGTTCTATGGAAATGTTTATATTGATTTTTCCTTGGCAGTTCAGATTTTGATTAGTCAATTTACACTGTATTAGATGTGAAATTAAGAGGTTGAACTAATCTTTTATGATTGCTTTCTCGCTGCTCGTACTTCATGGTGATATTTTCTTTGGAATTCTGAGTGAATTACATGAAACTGGTTCAAATGGGCTTTTATTGTTAGTTCAGCATCCTTTCAGTTGTTTTTTATTCTTTTTATTTTTATTTTGTTGGGATATGTTAATATGATAGTTACATAGCTGTTGTGCTTGCTTTTAATCTGTCTTGCTGATTAACTCTTAATTTTACTCTTATCTATATTGTCATTGCATTGCTTAGCCAATCATGGCACAGCACAGAAGGGTGCTTTTCGTTGGGCAAATGCTTCAAGTGGTTTAACTGGTGCAAACAGTCAAGATGCACCTATCAATGAGAATGAAAAATGCCTTAAAGTTTTAGTACAAAAGGAAATCACTAATACTGACATAGCTTCCTCAATCACGGGTGAAGTAAAACTTTCGTTGACCTATAGCTCTGACAGTCCAGATTTTAAAATGCCAAGCATAGAATCTATCTTTAAAATGGTTGAGGATAGGTGTTTGAAATCCTATAAGATTCTTAAACCAGATTTCTCACTTATGAATCTAATGAAAGATATATGCCAGTGTACGGTGGATTTAGCAGCTGAGTCTAGTAAAGATGAACAGGAGGCCATAAAGGTGACTCCTTTGTTAGAGCCTTTGAAAAGAGCTCATTCTCCTAATCCTAGTCATGGAATGGTCAGAAGATCTTCCGCTGGCTCACTGGATTTGGTTCCATTGGAAATTCCAATTGAAGGCTTGAATAGTCATGGTGGCATTAATGGCATTCAGGAAAACAGTGCCCCAGAATCGTCAAGTCATAATGTTTCACAGAGTTTGGCAATCATCCCACAAGAAGATCATACTGTCAGTGCTCCCCATCCCCTGCATGATGAGAATGACATAGCAAAAGGTGAAGAGAGAGTAAGAATTTCGCTTGTCAATGAGCTCACAAGCGAGAAGTTCCCAGCTTACTTTCATTACATTGCTCGGAATGCTGTTTATCAGAATGCGCATGTCAACTTTTCCCTTGCTCGGATTGATGATGAAGACTGCTGTTTGAACTGTTTTGGTGATTGTTTAAGCGTGCCTATCCCATGTGCCTGCACCCGAGAAACAGGTGGTGAATTTGCATACACCATGGATGGTTTACTCAAAGCTGAATTCTTGAATGAATGCATTTCTATGAACCGTGATCCTGATAAACATCATCATATTTACTGTAAGGATTGTCCTATAGAAAAGTCTAAGAATGAGCATACGCCTGAAGCCTGCAAGGGACATCTTGTAAGGAAATTTATTAAAGAATGTTGGATCAAGTGTGGTTGCAGCAAACAATGCGGCAATCGTGTTGTTCAACGGGGCATTTCACGGAATTTGCAGGTCATTTTAGCGTATAGTTTTTAAGATATTCTTTGGTTATGATATGCATGTTTTAATATTCATATGTATTTGCAAGGAACACTGTTTTTTATTTCTGTTGCTATCAGATTACAAGTAATATCCTTTATTTGCACTCAAAATCCCATTTGTGTGCTTTAGGTGTTTTTTGTAGCTGATGTGAAAGGATGGGGTCTTCGAACCCTTGAAGAATTGCCTAGAGGAGCATTTGTCTGTGAATATGTTGGAGAGATTTTAACAAACATTGAACTGTATGATCGTACTATTCAAAAGACTGGTGGTGCAAGGCACACCTACCCTGTATTATTGGATGCTGACTGGGGTTCAGAAGCGGGATTGAGGGATGAAGAAGCGCTTTGCTTAGATGCTACTTTCTTTGGAAATGTTGGGAGATTTGTGAATCATAGGTACCATGCTTTAAATTGTCTCCTTCTATCAGATAGTATTTTCTAGAGATAGACTTGTCTTTCCATTGCACAGTTTTTGGCTATTGGTAGAATTAAATGAATGTAAATACGTATTTCATGGGGTGTCTTGGATAACTGAAGTTCCTTAAATTCCAAAGCCAAAATGTTTATTTAGGCTTGCATGTACTTTTAGATTTTTGTGGTTAAAATAAGTTATTTTTTCTTTTTTGTTTTTATTGGAGCTAGCATCCTCCTTTACATGGCTATCTTATATGATAAAAGATACATTCTGTTTTGACAGAACAATTTTATTATGGGTTAGTCAGTTAGATTATTTGTATATTATTGTTGACCTCGATCACTGCCCGATGTCAATCAGATTACTGCCCGATGTCAATCAGATTGAATATGGCTAAAAAAGGTAGGCGAATGACTTGACTTTGCTTGAATACTGTCTGAAATGTGTTGACCAAAAATTGAAATAGCTTGAACAGCATCCGTTCGTGAAATGGACTGCGTTGATTTATTTGAGATACCAGAAACAATTAAGATTAACACTTATATTATATGGGTTGTCACATGATGAAAATCATTATGAAAAATTAACATGCGAGGTGGCGAAGTAGCTTCGATGTTTGTGAAGGAACTCAAGGAAGAGAGTTTGCTAAAAAAATCAAATAAAAAACCTGACAAGAAGTAATATATATTTATTCTTATTATTTTTATTATTATGATAATAATAATTAAAAAAATTAAACAAATCCCCCCATTTTGTCTCCCATTGTGCCCATTCTCCCATTGTTGAGCCTAACCTCGGGCCTTAAAAAAATAAAATAAAAAAGGGGAAGAACACGAATCCCCTGATATACCTATCTCAGTCTCTCTTGCTTTTGTTCATCTTACACACGCGAGCACTCTCTCCCTCTCACTATCACTTCTCCCATCTTGCTCAGCCCCACCGGCGATCAATTCCAACATCTTTGCTCTAGTTGCTGCCTATGTTGTTTCTCTATTTTTCTCTATTACACTATATATGTATCACACACACACTCTCTCTAATTGTTTGAGATGTTTAGGGGTCTGACCTAGCAATTATTTAAGTGAATGCATTGTCTTTGAGATGTGCACGCAACTTTCATTTTGATTTAAATTTTTCTTGTGTTATGTCTGCTTGTGCCTATGTTGCAGATTTGATTGGGAGTATCACAAGTTGAAATTTTGTGTTCTTTCAAAGGGATGATTTATTTGTATGTAATTTGTATTCTACTTGGGTGGGCCCTACTGCGAGTCATTTTTCCTCTTGTAAATTGACGCCTATCTTAGTTTGTGTTCAATCCATTGAGTGCATTCTCAAGGGTTCTAAGTGTTTAGAAGAGTTTTCGAAGCATGGAAAAGTTCTAGTTCTGCCCGTAGGGAAGTCATCAAATTTCTTGCAATTCTCGTGTAAGTTTCATTTGTGTTCAATTACTGCCACACATTTCTGCTCTTTTTTTTTTTTGAATTTTTATAGTTTTTATTCTGAAATTTTTACTCGTTCATTCGTTTATTTTATCATTTTTTGCTTGCACTCTCCTAATGTCTCCCTTGCATACGGGATATATTCAGGGAGTCTGTGCTTGCACACCACATAAGAAATAATGCGAATGAGAAATTTAAACACAATGACTATAGCAAGAAAGGCATGTATGAGTCTTCGTATGTGCATGAAAGTTTTGCAAACATGATTTTCCTACTACTTCAAGAAAGACTCGTACAAGCACTTATATTTTTGGCAGCATAATCGTGTTTCCCATTACGCCAAGAAAGATGCGGAAGAGTCTTCTCCCTACTCTCCAAGAAATTCATGTATGAGTTACGTGCACGATAAGCAAAAAAACAAAGTAGGCTTTCCCCACCTTTTTAAGAAAAATGCTTAGGAACACTTAAACCGATGTTGAGCTTGCTTTGCATTATGCCTCAAGTGCATAATGACATTGAGGTGATGTGGGCGCATGTGCGGTGCACTGATGAGGCAAATATACAAAAAATTCTCTTTTTTGTTTTTGCTTTTTTTCTCTTTCTAGAGAGAGAATGCAAGAGGGAGAGGGAGAAAGTGGGCTCGAGAAATAGAGAGAAAGAGAGAAGTAGAGAGAGAGCAAGAGAGGAGAGTAGTAGAGAGAGCGAAAGAGAAAGAGAAAGAGAAGTGAGAGAAATAGAGAGAGAGAGAGAGAGTGGCTATGAAGAAGAAGGCAGAGGGTTGCAGCGAAGTTAGCATCATTGGAGGAAGTTCTGGCAAGGTTGTCGTCATCGGAGGCGTTCAATAGTATGATACGAGCAATATTTAACTTAAATATGCAAGTCTCCCAAATATCCCTTCTCCTTCACATGCTGTTGGTCCCTTTGTGCCTCCTCCTGCAGGCTCTCAATCATGACCACTCCTTTGCACACTACATGTTGTGTGGATGCTTTCTTCAGCGAACTGACTACATGTCTTCCTCTCTACATGATACCTTCTCCAGCGAGCTACGTTGTGCCACACCTTATCTTCTTTTTTCATATCTCATTGACATTTCCCACGAGCTCCTTATGCAATTTCTTTGCTTCTTTGAAGTAGGGGTTTTTTCGGAATTTTGAAAGAGTAGAGAGAGCAAAAGTAGAGGGTTATGTGCGAAAGATGGGAGAGGTGAAGTTGGCAGGTGGATTTGGTAGGTGAGATTTTTTGCTTTTTATTTTATAGTAGGTTAACACTATACATGCATTAGATATCCATGGTAGAGGAGTCCATGTCCTTGATGGTAAGCAATTAGTTTGCCTTGTTCAAGGGCTTCCAAGTCTTCTTGAAAATCTTGGTCCATTATGTGTGTGTTTAACGCATGGTCCATCAAAGGGCTGTATGATCATGACAAGGTCACAAAAGTCATTCTGATTTATCAGAAAAGCATGCTTACCTTTTTTACTCAGTGCACCCCGTTTATATTTTATCAACATATTGAAATTATTGCTAGTATATCATCCTTTTCATGTTTTTTTTATTTATCATCCTTTTCATGTTTTATGCTTATTGTGACTACCATTAGGTTTTATAAATATCGTACTTGTATTTGATTTCAAGATGAGATCAAAGTTGATAACATAGCAAGAAACATCCATCTCTAACTTTAATGGATATTTCATTCTGGCAAGGTCTATTACTTGTGCTTAAATGGATGTTACATGTAGGGGAGGACTAGTACTTTTGCTTCGGTGTTATTTTCATGAGTAATTGGAAGGTGTTATCCTTTTTTTCTCCCGCTAGGAAGGGTGATTAGCAACTATAAGAGATGTTAAGGTGCAAACCAATAGTAATAAATGATATATGAACTTGCCTATGAGCAGGCTTCCATAAAACTCCGATATTTTAAAACTACAATGGACCAAGACCATTTCTAGATTATTGCTACCTTATTTGGTCTATGGAAAGTTCTCTTTTTCCCATGATGAAACCTTGATAGACAAGTTTAAGGTTTCTAAATCCACACTTCTTGAGATGACATATGAGATTGATATCCTCTAGAAGCTTCGAAACTTATTCTAGGTGTTGTAGATGTCTCTTGGCTTTTTCTATACACTAGTCTTCATGGTAAACATTGATGATTGATTTTGGTAAATCCACTCTCTTGATGTAGAAGCATTAATTTCCTTCATTTCAGCTTGAGGACAAGGTGAATCTTTGGGAGGAGGTAATGTTAGATCAGCTGGGCTGGCTGAACGTGTCCCTCCTGGACCGGTTGACTTCTATAGGAGGCGGACCCGAAGGAAGGCGGCGGAACAGGGGTGGGGTCCACTCATTGATTGGAGCAAGGGTTTAGGGGGGAAAATTGAAAATTGGGGGCTGTTTAGGGATTAATTAATTGTATTTTGCACTGAGTAATTTCCTTTTGGTTAGGGTTAGAGTTATATTGAATTTGGAGGCTGAATTTAAGATTTGGTGTTTTGCTTTTGGTCTCTAGGCTTTGGCTAGAGATTTGGAGAGTGGAATTTTCCTCTCAAATTGAAGATTCTTTGTGTTGGGTTGCTATTTTTCTTCTTCAAGTGATTTTTCTTTTATTTCTCTACAAACTTAGAAAAACCTGCACCTTTCTGGCTGAATTTCTCTCAAATTTCTGCATTATTGGTGCTTGTTCTCTATCAGACTCTTTTTTGTTAAGGCATGAACTTTCCATATATCAGAAAACATGTCTCAGTCACGCAGCATTTGTGCGGAGACTAATGTACATGATGTTACAACCTGGCTCCGGAGGTTGGAATACTAAGATAGGATTAGATGGATGACAATAGTTTAATTTCTTTCTAGTAATATGATAAATGGTTCAATAATAACATATTCTATAAAAAAAAATAGAGCCAATAAACAATATAGCTTTTGTTTAAGCACAAATCATACATAAATAATTTTGTCTTATCAATTTCAAACAAACTAGAATAAATTATATATTTCCTTTAATATTTATTCTCATTTGCTCTTCTTCTTTTGCATCGAATTTTTTTTGTAACCCATTTAACTTAAAACTAGACTCTCCTTAAAATGAATGTCAACTAATGGGGAGAGTAAAACAATAACTCATTGGTTGATATTAGTTTTATTTATAGCAATTTCAGGAATTTAAATAATATGAATAGAAAAGAATAATATCTTATCTATCGTTTTTTTATATAATGCATCCATCATAGTAGCTCTATCTAATTGTTATGTACATTTAGGAACTTATATATACTTCATGTAATTCACATTTTTTCATATCACTGGATATCTTTCTATATAAACAGTGCATTAGATAAATAACTTAAAGAAGATAAGCAATCTGTAGCATTCATTTTATCATGAGAAATACATGCAAGATTGGAGATGGATCATAAGTAATTTGCAAAAAAAAGCTTGATTGGATTATTATCAATATTAATTCATGTATTTAATTTAGAAGAAATAATATTGATAATATAATTTAGGAATAAGAGTACTTATCTCAGCCACATCTCACTTGCTTTTGCCTTGTGGTCCTTCACTCCTCTTTCTTTAATGGAGTACTTTATAATCATATATTTAAAGTGCCCTTGTTAGTTAACTTTCTTTAAATTACGAATATTTCTTTGATATCATTATCTACTAACATCTTGCTAACTATTAAATATATCAATCTTTCTAAGTTTATCTTTATTTTAATTAAGTATATTAATTATCATTACTTATAACATATCAAATTAAATTTTGTAATGTAAAAATATAAAATTTTGCGCATGTTAAATTTAACGTTTTCTATATATTAACGTTTTCTATATAATAAGAAGATTTGTTTTAAAAATTGGTTTAATTTTAAAAATTCTGATAATTGGGAATTATATAAAGTGGCTCGTAAGGATTCTAAGAAAGCAATATGCGATGCAAAGACATTAGCTTTTAGCGATTTATATAATAGATTAAATACTAAGGAGGGAGAAAGATATATGTATAAGTTAGCCAAACAAAGAGATAGGAGTAGTAAGGATTTAGTTCAAGTGAAGTGTATTAAGGATGAAGATCAAAAAATACTTTTCTTAGAAGATGATATTCAACAAAGGTGGATGAGATATTTTGCTAAACTTTTTAATGAAGAGTGTGAAAATAAGATTGACTATAGTGACCTTAGCACCCTAAATGAAAGTAAAGATTTCTGTTTTTATCGGCGTATTAGTAAAACTGAAGTTAGAGAGGCTTTAAAGAAAATGAAGGGTGGAAAAGCTGTTAGACCTGATGATATTCCAATAGAGGTGTGGAAATGCTTAGGAGATGAAGGAATTTCATGGCTTACTAAACTTTTTAATACTATTTTAAAGACTAAGGTTACATCAAGGATCAGCCTTAAGCCCATATCTTTTTGCTTTAGTCATGGATGTTCTCACTAGACATTTGCAAGATGATGTACCTTGGTGTATGCTTTTTGCTGATGATATTCTTCTTGTTGATAAGACTAGAGAGGGAGTTGAAGGTAAACTTGAATTATGGAGGTCAACCTTAGAGTCTAAAGGTTTTCGCTTGAGTAGATCTAAAACGGAATATATGGAGTGTAATTTTAGCAGTAATAGTCCTAGTGAGGGGATTGTGACTTTGGGCGATCAAGTCATTAATAAGAGTACACATTTTAGGTATCTTGGATCTATTGTTCAGAGTGATGGTGAAATAGATGGGGATATTATCAGCAGAATTCAAGTTGGATGGTTGAAGTGGCGGAATGCATCGGGCTTGTTATGTGATAGAAATGTACCCCTCAAACTTAAGGGAAAATTCTATAAGATGGTAGTGAGGCCTGCAATGCTTTATGGTGCCGAATGTTGGCCATTAAAAGAGAAGCATAATACTAAGTTAAGTGTGGCAGAGATGAGGATGCTTAGATGGATGAGTGGCTTTACCCTTAGAGATAGGATACGAAATGAGCATATACGTGAAAAGGTTGGAGTAGCTCCAGTAGAAGATAAGATTAGAGAGAGTCGCCTTAGATGGTTTGGTCACATAAAAAGGCGGCCTTCCGACGACCCAGTTAAGAGAGTAGAGGTATTAGATTTGACTTGTGTTAAGAATGGTAGGGGTAGACCTAAAAAGACTTGGTTAGAAAATATTAGGAATGACCTTTTTTTAATAGATTTAAACGAGAATTTGGCTTTTAATAGGACACAATGGCGAAAAAGGATTCATGTAGCCGACCCCACGTAGTGGGATAAAGGCTTGATGTTGTTGTTGTTGTTGTATATAATATTAATTTGCTATTTCATTCCATCTTCACTTAAAATTTAGATTTGTATACCTTCAAATAATATTAATCATTGTCTTTTAGACAAGATCAGATTCTAGGTTTGAAATTTTTTGTCTTGATTCATAAATTGAAAGAACAGTGAGATGCAACCTATAAGCTTTTAATGGAGCACATCATATACTCATAAACTCATATGACAACATGATATGATCTCAAACTCTTCTTACTAACTTTCGCATGCACCCATTAATTCAAATCAGATAATGTTTACTCTTATGTTAACAAGGAAATGTAACATAAATTCTTAACTTATATCACTTATTGTTGTTCTTAAAATTTCCTCAAAACCAAAATATAATTAAGTTCTTGGATTGCCCTTTTTCTTCTCTACAATCAAACATCAAAGCTCTCTCAAATCCCTTCATAAAGCATATGCCTGCATAAGGATTGAAAACAAAGGGTTTCTAATTTGATCCTTGAAAAAATAGAGAAGAAAATAAATCCAAGTTAAATTTCCCTTTCTTTATTTATGCCATTTTCTTGCTTTTACTTGATTTTTCTTAATTACATATGATGGATTATCTGTTCAGTTAGCTCCTGATGCTGAAATAAATATTCTATTTATTGCAGATGCTTTGATGCTAATTTGGTTGAGGTTCCTGTTGAGTGGGAGACTCCAGATCACCATTATTATCATGTATGTGTTTTTTTCCTTTCAATGGGTACTTTGAAGTATTTTTGCATAAATAATACTGCTTAAACCTTATGGAAGTTAAACTTGATTTATTTTGCATCCATCAATACATACAGCTTGCCTTTTTTACTACGAGAAAAGTAGAAGCTTTGGAAGAGCTAACATGGGTGAGTAGCTTCAATTGTTGATGCTGTTATAGTGGTATTTTGTTACTTATCTGTATAATATCTGAATATTACTTTTACTAACATTCTGTAAGCCTTCTATTTTGTCCTTTTCATGACAATTGGCACTGATTGGTTACGGAATGGAACGGATATCTTTTTCTAATTGTTGTATTACGTAATGCTTTTTGCTCTTTCGTATACTCTTGTTCTAGAGAAAGATATTACTTAAAGGATTGCTAGCTTATTGAAATTTTTATTTTGGGGATTAAACTAGACTTTCAGGCTGTCATATCATTTCATCAGGAAGATGGCTGCTAGACTTTCAGGCTGTCTTATCAGGTTGGTTGGTTGAATAAGCATAGAAACAAATAAAAAGGATAGATATAGAACTTAGAGGTATGCCAGAAGCTGTATAAAATGAATCAAACAAACTATAAGCTACACTTCAGGCAAGCATACCAAGATTGAATGTAAAAATTCCTAAAGCATACTCGGTCTGTTGGATATGGTGATGAATATGATAATTCAGTCGGTCTAGAAATTTTGATTCTTAAATGTCCTTGCTCATGCTCCAAAGAGGAGAGGTTTCAGCTTTGGTTTAGTCGTTTTGGCAAATCCCGTGCTGAAGGTTGCCCAATTATTCTTTATCATTTGATTTTTCTGTATCTCTGTTTATAGGTCCACGGTAAGAATAAATATGTACTTCAGACTTTTCACATCGTTGGTTCATTGAGATAATTTAAGTCGTGGGTATACTAGGGATTCACATGCCAATAAATTTGTGGAAGTTGCTTTAGTTTTACTTTGTGTAGGATGTTGTTGGAGTAGTTTGTTTGTGCTAGAGAAACATTTAGTGTAATAATGTGACCAAATTTTTCTTATTTTTGAAATATACAGTGATATCTTATTTTTGTTAAATTCATTATAGTTAATATTAGTTGTCAACATGGAGTACATGCACACCTTTCCAGCAATTTTGGTGAAACTAGCCTGATGCGAGCTTAGAATTGAAGATCCGTTTGGCTGTGAGCTTGAGTAGCTAATCCAGAAGAAGTATTTCTGTTTGCAGTGTTTGAGAGAGAAACAATTTGAACATGACCTGTGGCATTTCATGGGAGAGTTGTGATTTGTTCTAATTTTGAACTGTAGCTGACAATTTTATCTTATACAGAAACATAACTCATGAGCATCATCTTTAGCTTTATCCCATCCGTTTGATGTCTGCTTGATTAACTCCATTTTGTCTTGTTGAATACCAGCAATGTGGCTGGAAGTTATGCAGAAATATTTGTGCAAGTCTATAATACACTCCCTTTTCCCCTCCTAACTCATCTTCTCATCAATTCATTCAACCGAAACATTGCTGCAATACTTAGCATTAGTTGGAAATGTACAACTCTAGGCCAACCACTTTGTCAAGTCTATTAATAGAGTACGTTCCCCACTGCTACTACAACTTAGACTTCGTTTTAGACGGTTTTCTTACTGCTTCTTAAAGCAGCTTTCTAGTTAAAAAAATTTAGTTTTTGTACTACAAAACTGTTTCAAGAAGCATTAAAAAATCTGTCCCAAACAAAGCCTTTGCTGATCAGCTTATACATGCGTGGATGCACATGGCTCATTTTACAGGGTTTTTCATTGTATATTTGCACTAATTTGTACATAGCATGCTATGTGGGCATGCATGCATTTATTGATATGCAAACATACTTTTTGTACATGCTTCATTTGTGGGATTTTATTGTGTATTTCTTTGCTGTGCTAAAGATTCTCAATACAGTTGTTTTTTTAGGGTGCTCTTTGCTTACAAGTGATTTGCAGGATTACGGGATTGATTTTGACGATAGTTCACATCCGATCAAAGCCTTTAAATGCCTTTGTGGGAGCAGATTTTGCCGCGATAGGGTTCGATCAAGTTAGTGTTTCTATTTCTAACCATATTCATCTTCTTTTAAGATTTAAGATGTGTTTGGTATTTTTTAATCTCACTCTTTCTGGAAGAATTTTATGCGGGGCCAGTCTTGAGAAGGATTAAATTCCTTTTCCAAACTAATACAATTGTTTCATTAATGATGGTGAAATGATTCGTTTACTATAACAATCATAAGTGGCCTAGATATTACCATCTTGAAATTTGTGGGGGCTAAAATGTTGAATTATCTCACAACTATGTTAGGAGCTCCATTGTAGCTATTAGAAACACACTTTTTACTGCAATAACAAAGTAGATTTAATGTTCAATTAAATAATCTCTACATAACAATGATCTTGCAGAAGTACGGAGGCAGATATAGCAAAATAAACACACATCCCTCACTAAATATATGGTACTTTTCTAATTTGATTTTTTTCTAAGCTAACATTTATCCTCATGTTAGTGCATATATCAGCTAGCTCCAATCTATAACATGCTTAAGAGAAAGGTAGAGGACCCAGATTTTTCAAAAACATATGGAATACTTGTTTTGAACTTTAGACTTGGATGATGCTTGTGTTTTTTATAAGAAAATCTTAAATGGAATTACAATCAATCTCAATATGTGTAGTTCGTTCATAAAGGTTTTGGCATTATAGATAGCAACATGAACTGGCCCAGCTCCAACCGTCCCCTTTTAAAGGGCCGGTTCATGTTTACAAAAGAAGGGGCAGCGGCAATAGAGATAGAGAAGGTGGTGGGGTCCACTAGAGATTCAAATTTAAATGTTTGGAGCCAAAGGAGGGAGCGGCAAGGTCTAATATGCCATTTGGCTTTAATGATTAATTGTATGTTTTAAGTATGGTGGAGGAATTAAGGTTAGGGTTATACTTTGTTTTGTGGCTGCTTTAGGAGTTCTTGTGCTTGTGTCTTGGGCCCTAAATTCGTCTAGGGATCGAGAGAGAACGATCATCCTCTCGAATTGAGGATCAATTGTATCTTGCTTTAGTTCTTTCGTTGATTTGATTCCTACAATAAATACTACTGTTTTGGTGTGTTTTCCCATCAGATTTTATGAATCTTTGCTGTTTTTATACCTCTTGTTAGGGTTTACTTGAAATAATCAAATTTTTTGCCTATTTTCTAACAAATTGGTATCAGAGCCAATTTTGGGACCATTGTGGGTTGTTTTTTTTTTGAAATTTCAATGGTGATTTTTTTTTTCCGGAGGAAGTTTCTTGCTGATTTTTTTATCAAAATATATATTTTTTTAATGCCAGCCAAGAAGGTAAATGCGTTGGAGAAACACCTTGAAAGCGAGATGAGCCAAATAAAAGCCGTGGTGGAAGATCAAATCTCATCCGTAGAAGGCAAGGTTTCATCCGTGGAAGACAAAGTTTCCGAACTTCATGCAATAATGAAGAAGCTATTGGAAAATCAAATTGAAACGGCGGCATCGAAGGCAAAGGACCGATGGTGAAAACGACAAATTTTGAGTTTCGTAGGAGGGACGATTAGATGGAAGTCATGGTGGAAAGAAGTGGAAGGTATGGAGGGAAGAATGGTTAGGGGGAACGAATCAAGGGGTGCTGGTTGGGAGAGAAAAGAAAGGGAATAAGGGAGAAGGGGTGCTGATTTTGAAGAAAAGAGGGGGGGGGGAAGCGCAGAGGGGTTTGTGTATGAACGTAAGAGGGAAGATCGGGAAACTTGGGGGGGGAGCACTTGGGAAAGAGGAAACTATGGAGGAATAAGGGGAAATGGGAGAGATCAGAAGGTGAGGAAGCTGAAGATGCCCATTTTTGAAGTGGAGGACACACATGGGTGGATCTATAAGGTGGAGAGGTACTTTACTGTCAATAGGTTGACGGAGGAGGAGAAGTTGACAACAGCAGGCTTATGTTTGGAGGGGACGGCGCTGTCATGGTACCAGTGGAGAGACTAGAGGAGACCCCTACAGAGTTGGAGAGAATTCAAAGATTGTTTATTAGAATGTTTCCAAGCCGACATGGGAGGAGACTTCTATGAGCAGTTCTTTGCACTTGTGCAGGACGGATCAGCGGCAGACTACCGTGAGCGGTTTGAGTATCTGGCCAGTTGGGTGGAGCGATTCTTAGAGATGTCATTGGAGGGGAACTTCATGAAGTGGTCAAATCAGAGATTAGAGTTGCAGTGAAAGTCATGAGGCCTTATGACTTGGGAGAGGCCATGAAGTTGGCACAACTGGTTGAAAATCATAGGAATCAAGAGAGGGGAGCCAAGAGTAGCAATTCAGGAGGCTTTGACATGATTACGACCACTCTTTTAGCACCCAAGGGTCCTGCAGTAGGAGGATTTCGTGAGACCTCCAGGGAGAAGCCAATAGGAGGAAGTGGGGGAAACTTTAAGAGGTTGATGGAGATGGAGATTCATGAGAAGAGGGTGAAGGGGTTATATTTCAGATGTGATGAGAAGTATACTCCAGGGAATAGGTGTAGGGATCGAACTCTTCATGTTCTCACCTTCTATGATGACGAAGAAATTGAGAAGGGAGGCGAGGATAAGGTAGAGGGAGAGATGGAGGAGAAATTGCATCTGGATCTGACAGAGGTTTATCTAAACTCTGTGGTAGGCTTAATTATGAATCATATCATGAAGGTGAAGGGGGAGATAGAGGAAAGGGAGGTGGTGGTATTGATCGGCAGTGGGACTACCCACAATTTTATTTTCACTCAGGTCGTCCACCAACTGGGAGTGATATTGGTGGATAATTATATTATGAGGTGATGATGAGTACAGGGAAGATGGGAAAGGTCAAGGGATCTGTAGAGTGGTGTTAACCATCCAGGGGATTTAGGTGAGGGAGGATTTTCTTCCACTGGAGTTAGGAAGTACTAATATCATCATGGGGATGAAGTTGTTGCAAACCTTGAGCAATTGGGGAGCACTCACGATTGAGTTGATGATGGATGGGAGAAAGGTGGTGATTAGGGGAGATGCATGGCTATCCAAAACCATGGTGAGAAGTATACAACAGGTGGGGGAGGGCTTTATGGTGGAGCTGCACATATTGGAGGGAGCTAGATTGGATGAGGGAGGAAACATACCCCTCTCAGTACAGCGGTTGATCTAGCAATTCCATGAGATTTTTAACCATCTCAGGGATTGCCACTACCAAGGGAGCAGGAGCACTCTATCACCTTGAGGGAAGGTGTATCACCCATCAACGTCAGGCCCTACTGTTATCCTCAATTTCAAAAGGATGAGATTGAGAAGTTGATTAGAGAAATGCTTGAGGCAGGAATTATCAGGCTCAGTGTTAGTCCTTTTTCGAGCCTAGTATTACTGGTTAAGAAAAAAGATGTGCAGCTGGAGGTTTTGTATGGACTACAGGGCAATAAATAAGGAGACTGTGCCAGAAAAATTTCCTATACCAATGATGGATGACCTGTTGGATGAGTTGAGTGTGGCGGTGATCTTCACTAAAATAAATATGAAGTCTGGATGTCATCAGATCAGAATGAAGAAGGAAGATGTGCCCAAGACTGTTTTTAGAACTCATGAGGGACATTATGAGTTCCTAGTGATGTCTTTTGGCCTCACTAATGCTCCAGTCACATTTCAAGCACTCATGACAAGGCCTTCAGATCTATCTCAGGTGATTTGTCTTGGTGTTCTTTGTCAATAGCCTAGTTTACAGCAGGACAGAGTAGCATTGGGAGCACTTGAGGAGGGTGTTGGAAGTGTTGCAGGAGCACTAGCTGAGGGCCAACCTGAAGAAATATTGTTTTGCTTAAGCCAGTGTGAAGTATTTGGGCCATATTGTATCTAGAGAGGGGTTGACAGCAGACCAATAAAAAATTGAATCTATGTTGAGATGGCCAGTGCTTAAAAATCTGAAGGAGCTGAGAGAATTTCTAGGACTGAAATGATACTACAGGAGATTCGTGAAGGGATACAACATCATAGCATGACCACTAATAGAGCAATTGAAGAAGGATGGTTTCCTATGGGGGGAGCCAGCCACGGCAGCCTTTGAGAGCTTAAAGAAGACAATGACTACTGTACCAATCTTAATACTACCGGACTTCACTCAGGTCTTCATGATGGAGACAGATGCTTCAAGATATGGATTGGTGGTAGTACTCATGCAGAATCATCGACCCCTTATTTATTTCAAACAAGTGTTGAAAGCTAGGGCCAGGCTGAAATTAGTTTATGAGCGGGAGTTGATGGCCATTGTATTAGCTATCCAGAAGTGGTGGCCCTATTTATTAGGTGGACATTTCATTGTTAGAACGGACCAGTGGAGTCTAAAGTACTTATTGGGGCAGCAGATGAGCATCAGAGGTGTCTTTTCAAATATCTAGGGTATGATTTTGAAATCCTATACAATCTAGGAGTGGAAAACAAGGCGGTAGATGTCTTTTCCAGATGTATAGGGGAGTTGCAGGCGACAACAATGTCGATCCCATTGATGTTAGATTGGAAGGCCATCAAGGAAAAGAGTGTTAGGGATCATGCGTTGAGAAAAATCAGAGCTGATTTATTGAGGGAAGGGAGTAGCCACCCTGGGTATTCTTTGGAGGGGGAGAGACTTCTGTACTAGGGAAGGCTTGTGATGCCTAGGACATCAGTCCACATTCCACACTTGCTCCAGGAGTTTCATGGGAGCACTGTTGGGGGTCACTCAGGGGTGGAAAAGACATACATGAGACTAGCTTCAAAGTTGTACTGGAAGGGGATGCATAAGGATATGGAGGAGATGGTAGCCATATATGAGATATGTCGAAGGAACAAGTATATGGCCATGTCTCCAGGAGGATTACTACAGCCGTTAGTTTTACCAGGTCGGGTGGGAGGAGGTATCCATGGATTTCATAGAGGAACTACCCCGATCAGAAGGGTTTATAGTGATCCTGGTGGTGTTGGACTGATTGAACAAGTATACTTGTTTCATTCATCTATGACATCCATACACCACAGTGACAGTGACATAAGCTTTAATCAGAGAGATGATCAGACTGCATGGAGTACTTGAGGCTATAGTATCCGACAAAGATAAAGGTATTCAGCCATTTCTGGAGGGAGTTGTTTAGGCTACATGAGACAATATTGAAGAGGAGCACCTCCTACCACCCACAGATGAATGGCCAAATATAAGTGGTCAATTGAAGCTTGAAAACTTACCTAAGATGCTTTGTGTCAGAGACACCCAAGTTATGGGTCAAGTGGCTAGCGTGGGCTGAGTATTGGTACAACACCTCTTATCATTCCGCTTATTAGATAACTCCATTAAAGATGTTGTATGGAAGGGATCTGGTGCATTTTGGTCAGAGGAGCACACTAGTTTCTTCAGTAGAAGAGTATCTGGAGGAGTGAGACAGGGTGTTGGAAGAACTGAAGAGGCATCTACTGAGGGTCCAACAATTTATG